AGCATTATGCTACAACTTGCAAATATAATATTACAGCTGACGCAGTGACAATTACTCATTTCATATTTTTTTTTTCTAAAACTCAATAAGCAAGTTATCATTTAAGCACATGGAATAATGCCATGTCTTCTTAGTTCTTTTTTTTTTTTTAACTTTTATTTAATGAATATAAGTTTCCAAAGTACGAATAATGGATTACTATGGCTTCCCCCCCATACCGTCCCTCCCACCCACAACCCTCCCCTTTCCCACTCCCTCTCCCCTTCCATTCACATCAAGATTCATTTTCGATTATCTTAATATACAGAAGATCAGCTTAGTATACATTAAGTAAGGATTTCAACAGTTTGCTCCCACACAGAAACATAAAGTGAAAAATAATAGATGATTTTTTTTTAATGATGATGAAATCAGATCAGACCTATTGTCATGTTTAATCCCAGTGAGAGTCAAGTTGGGAGTTGATAGTTTCTTTTCTTTTTTTTTTTTTTTTAGTTCTAATAATAAATTTTAAAATCCAAACACTTTGTATCATGGAGACTTTACCTAGCTGTACAAGAGCTCCCAAATACAGCACAGTCATAAAGTTTCTTCTGTGTAGACTCCATCAATTTATGGTTATTTTAGTACAGACGAATGCAGGATACTACTCCAGATTACTGGGCAACAAAATGTCTGTGTGTTGCCACCTGTACTTAGGTACGCACTCAGCACAACTACAACCATGGCAAGTAAATACCTTCACCTGTCCGCTACTGCTTCCAGGGTTCCTCTCCAGGTCACAGGAGCTAGGTTAATGGATACTATCGAGTCTCAACTTATCTCTGAAAGTTCCTTTATTAAAAATTTTAAAATTTAACTAATATGTAAAGTCTCAATAAGCCAGTTTTTTTCTTACTGTTCACTAGCTAGTTCAAATACAGTATATAATATGGTGAATTTTTATGGACAACTTATTAAAATGATTAAAAGTATCTAAAAGGCCACTTGTGGGTAAAATAATAACCAAAAAATGACACTAAGAGGCTGGCGCTGCGGCTCACTAGGCTAATCCTCCGCCTTGCGGCGCCGGCACACCAGGTTCTAGTCCCTGTCGGGGCGCCGGATTCTGTCCCGGTCGCCCCTCTTCCAGGCCAGCTCTCTGCTATGGCCCAGGAGTGCAGTGGAGGATGGCCCAAGTGCTTGGGCCCTACACCCCATGGGAGACCAGGAGAAGCACCTGGCTCCTGCCTTTGGACCAGCACCATGCGCTGGCCACAGTGTGCTGGCCGCGGCGGCCATTGGAGGGTGAACCAACGGCAAAGGAAGACCCTTTCTCTCTCTCTCTCTCTCTCTCACTCTCTCACTGTCCACTCTGCCTGTCCAAAAAAAAAAAAATGACACTAAGTAACTACTAAAGCTATGGGATTCATAATGAGCACAGATACAATGACACTTTAACCCTGCTGCTTTACAGCATCAATAATAAGAGTCAATGCGTGAGGCACTGAAGAGCAGGATTTCAGGAGAAACGCTAGTAAACACATGAATTTTGATGCCTCAAACACAAAAGTGTCCACAGTCCTTATAAGCAACCTTTAAGTAGTGCAAATCTTTATTTCATTTATAATTTTTTCTGAAATAAAAACCTGATTCATTATAGAACGTGTCATCAATTTCAGTTTTCAAGTATTCAAGTAATGCAAACCCAAGCACTTTCCTTTATGGCAACAACACACTTACACACTGAGCTTCAAAGACAGGGAAAAATTCATCTAAAATAACTGAAGCACTCTTCTGCCCAAAGACATAAGAACTAAGACTAACACTGTAATCATGCAAATGGGATGTAATAAAAGAAAAAAAAAAGTTGGTCCAATATAATAAATGCCTTCTTTTTTAAAAATGCCTTAATATGTGGATAGATTCCCAGTAACAGGATATTCTGAAATCTAAGGAACGATAGAATTTCCCTGCCATTTTTCCATAAATGTTCCTATTATTTACCTTGGATGTCCTTTGTACATTTACTGGAAGAGTTTCTGCCTTCACCTTCTTTCATGGTGATGACCATGTTTCTGTGTCTCTGTGTGTAACACATCCTTAAACATCTTTTGTAAGGCTGGACTAGTGGTGACAACTTCTTTCAATTTCTGTTTGTCATGGAAGGTCTTTATTTCACATTCATTCATAAATGAGAGCTTTGCAGGGTACAGTATTGTAGGCTGACAGTTTTTTCTCTTTAAACTGGAAAATATCTCATCATTCTCTCCTAGCCTGTGGGGTCTCTGATGAGAAGTCAGCTGTGAGTCTAATTGGAGATCCTCTGAGAGTAATCTGGCGTTTATCTCACGCACATTTTAGGATCTTTATGTTTTACTGTGGAGAGTTAGAACCAATATGTCATGGTGAAGAGCTTCTCTGGTCATGTCTATTAAGAATTTTATATGCTGCCTGTACTTGGAAGTCCCTTTTTTCTCCAAATTAGGGAAGTGTTCTGTTGTTATTTCACTAAGTTTTTCTAATCCATTCTCTTCACACCTTCAGGAACTCCTAAGATCCATCCGTTGGGTCGTTTGATAGTATCCCATAAATCTCCAACACTGGTTTTTAGTTTTCTAATTTCTTCTTCTTTTATTTGGTCCGACTGTAAAATTTCCAGAGATTTGTCTTCTAACTTGGATATTCTTTCTTCTTTCTCACCAAGTCTGCTAAGGCTGCACTCCCAGGCCACAGCAGAGAGCTGGACTGGAAGAGGAGCAACCGGGGCAGAATCCGGCGCCCTAATCGGGACTAGAACCCGGGGTGCCGGTGCCGCAGGCTGAGGATTAGCCTAGTGAGCCACGGCGCTGTCCTGTAGATGCTGCTTTGCGCGACAGAGCTTCTGGCCTGTCTTTCCCAGGAAGGGCAAACCTGGGGGACAGGTGGGCTGCTGTTGACCTGCTGTCTTACTTTGCTTCATGCTGCATCACAGAATACCCCAGACGGGATGATTTATAAAGAACAGAAATTTATTCCCCCAGTTCTGGAGGCCTGAAAGTACAAGATCAAGGTTCCGAATTCAGAGGCCAGCGCTGTGGAGTAGCGGTTGGGGCTGCCATGTGGGCGCCAGTTGGGGTTCCGGCTGCTCCACTTCCAATCCAGCTCCCTGGTAATGCACCAGGAAAGAAACAGAAGACGGCCCACGTGTTTGGACCCCTGCACCCACGCTGGAGATTGGGAAGAAGTTCCTGGCTCCTTGCTTGGGATTGGCCCAGCTCAGCCATTGCAGCCATTTGGGGAGTGAACCAATGGATGGAAGATTTCTCTCTGCCTCTGCCTCTCTGTAACTCTGCCATTCAAATAAACAAATGGATAAATATTTTATTTTAAAGGTGTTGGATCTAATGGGAGCCTTCTTGCTGCCTCATAACACGGGGAAGGCATCGCGTGGGTGAGACAGAGCAGGTGCACCAGCTTGGATCTTTCTTCCTCTTCTCATAAAGCCATTGATGGAGTCTTTGCTCCTACCACTTCATCTAAGCCTAATTACCCACAGAGGGTCTGTCTCTAAATACCCTCAGTGTACGAATTTGGGGAGCAAGTTTGCAACACTTGAGCTTCAGGGCACACCTTCACACCACAGCTCCTGTCGTCCACCAGTGACAGGCAGTGGGATTGCACAGGAGACGCCTGGCAATGGTCAGATGTGCGAATCTGAGCCGTACCCTCTGCTCTCTCCACAGAAGCAGAACCCCGTGTAGACACCATCGGCGAATGCGCATCAGGGCAGTGTGACGCCTCAAACTGAGACACCCACTGCAACACTCCTGGTCCTTGTGGTCTTGGTTAACCCAGTTCCTCACTGTAACCCACAGGGCCTACACTGGTCCACAGCAAGCTTCTGTACATTTTCACCATCACCTCATTTTTTTTTAAGGAAGGAGGTATCTGGTTTGCAAACCTGGTGATTCCCCATCCAGTGAATTTTTTAAACAAAAATTTACTTATTTTATTTGAAAGTCAGAGTTACACAGAGAGAGAAGCAGAGGCAGAGAGAGAGAGAGAGAGAGGTCTTCCATCCGCTGGTTCACTCCTCAATTAGCTGCAATGGCCAGAGCTATGCCGATCCGATGCCAGGAGCCAGGAGCTTCTTTCGGGTCTCCCACGCGGGTGCAGGGGCCCAAGGACTTGGGCCATCTTCCACTGCTCTCCCAGGCCACAGCAGGGAGCTGGATTGGAAGTGGAGCAGCCAGGTCTAGAACCGGCGCCTATACGGGCTGCTGGCACTGCAGGCAGCGGCTTTACCCACTATGCCACAGCGCTAGCCCCCATCCAGTGAATTTCATAGCTCCCCTTTCAGACCTTGGATGTTCTCCTCCCTGCCCTGAGCTCCCCCAAGCCCTTTACCCACAGCCCTGAGGCCAAGGCCCCGGCCATGGGTTTAGAGAATCTTCAGAGAACGCACAAGATCCATAGACTCCTGGTCTTCTGAGACCAGGAAGCTGAGGGCCAGCACCTTCCCCACCTCAGGGCAGGACGCCCTGTACTTGTCGCGCCTGGAGAGGCAGGCGCCCTGTGCCAAGCAGAGGCCTCTGGGCAGAGCAGCTGGACTGGTTCCTTTGGCGCCTGTATTCGGGACCTCTGGGGACTCTCAGGAGGACCCCGGAGACACCGGAAGGCAGCGGGGGGCCTCCCCTGTTTTTTTTTCCTCTGGGATTTCCGCTCTTGCTCTGGGACACCCAGGCACAACCTGGGCATCTTCTGTTGGGTACTGGGGGAGCGCGGGGCTTCGCTTCTCCGGTAAGGTGGGACTTGGGTGTTTGGGTGCGTTTGGAGGCGATTTACATGGCTGTGGAACTGGAAGTGAAGCCAAGATCTTTCCCCTAAAATCCACAAGCGCCACACAAGCAAGGCGGCCATTGGTCATTGGTCAGGTTCCCGGTGGCCAATAAACATGGGAAGGGGGAAGGGGGAAAAGCAAACCCCGCCCGAGCCCCAGGGGGATGGAGTTGGCACCAAGAACTTCTCACCAACCCCAGGACAGCACAGCCGGCCCGGCACTTCCAGGGGTGCGGGAGCGACGCTCCCTCTCCAGCTGTGCGCTCCACCTCCGCGGCCCTGCGCGTCTAGATTGGGATCCCCCGCGGGCAGTCGGGGAGAAGCAAGCACGGAGGAAGAATCCAGAGTTAACCTGGGACAGGTGCGCGTAGGGGCGCAGCGGATTCGGCCCCGCGCAGCCGGTGCTAAACCCTAGCGCCTGAGCCCCGAGCGGGGAGCCCTCCCGAAGGGGCCCCCTGGACCTTGGCACCGCGCCCTTCGCTCAGCACCACCCGCACCCTCGGCAGCGGCAAAGAGGGGTCTCCGGTCAAGGGCAGGGATCTGCGGCCATGGCCGAGACCGCGGAGCCGGAGGGAGGCGCTCCGAGTCCCCAGGGGCCGCCCGAGGGCTCAGCGCTCCTGGAGGAGAGACCGGGAGAACCGGACCCCGCGGGCCCGGAGGCGAGCGAGGGAGCTGCAAAGGCGCCCAGTGGCGAGGGGGCGGGCGCAGCCGCCAAGGCCGGGGCTACGGAGGAAGCAGGCGGCGGGCGGGACGGAGAGGGCGCCGGCGAGCAGGCGCCGGATGCTGGCACAGAATCTGGGGGCAAGACGCCGGACGCGAAGGGGGCGCAGAGCGAGTCGGAGGGCGCCCCGGAGGGCACCAAGGCCCCCCAGCTAGGGGAAGAGGGGAGCGGCGGGAAGCAGGTGGAGGAGTCGGGCCCTGACTGCGAGCTGCGGGGCGAGGCTGCCGGGGAGGCTGAAGGGCAGGCCGCGGCCCCTGCGGCCCCAGGGGCGCAGGAGGAGGCGGTGCCGGGGGACAGCGTAGACGCGGAGGGCAGCATAGACGCGGGGGGCAGCGTGGACGCGGCGGGCAGCGTGGACGCGGGGGGCAGCATAGACACCGGGCGCAACGTGGACGCAGGGGGCAGCATAGACGCGGGGGGCAGCGTGGACGCGGGGGGCAGCATGGACGCGGAGGGACCGGCGGGAGGGGCGCACGGGGCCGGAGGTGAACCCCAGGATCTTGGGGCTGGCAGCCCCCAGCCCAGGTCCGAGGCGGTTGAGGTCGCGGCGGCGGAGAGCGAGGGGCACAGCCCAGGGGAGTCTGTGGAGGACGCAGCCGCGGAGGAGGCGGCGGGGACCCGGGAGCCGGAGGGGTCCGAGGACGCGGCGGGCGAGGACGGGGACCAGGGCCGGCCCCAGGAGGAGACGGAGCAGCAGGCGGAGAGGCAGGAGCCGGGCCCCGAGACGCAGAGCGAGGAAGAGGAGAGGCCCCCGGATCGCAGCCCCGACGGGGAGGCGGCCGCGTCCACGCGGGCTGCGCAGCCGGAGGCGGAGCTCAGCAACCACCTGGCGGCGGAGGAGGGCGGCCAGCGCGGCGAGGGGCCGGCGAACGGCCGCGGGGAGGACGGCGAGGCGTCGGAGGAGGGGGACCCGGGCCAGGAGCACGACATCACCCTCTTCGTCAAGGTAACCGGGCTCGTCTCGGATCGGAGAACCGCCGCGCGCAGCCGGCCTTTGGGGAAGGCGCCTGGGCTTGGCGGCTTGGGGTGGGGGCTGTGGGACCCGCGTTCCACTACCCTTTGTCCCGAAGGGGAGGTTGTTATTAAAGAATTAATGTAGGGAATACGTTTGAAAAGCGACACTCCTGTGGGTGCTCAAAGGCCTCCTGGCAAAGGACGCGGTGGTGCCCGAGGTGGGGACAGACACGGGTCGGTGCCCCGTGGGGAGTGTCCCCAGGACGCGAATCCCAGAGGCCCCGGGGGCTGGCCAGCGTGTTCCGTTCCAGAAACACACTTCCTTCTGGTAGGACGGATCCTGCAAGTTTGGGAGGGAAGCGAAAGCTTCGCTATTCCGTGAGCGTTCTAACCTTTGTTCTGGAACATCCGCGATGCCAGAAGCTCCAGCATCATCTGCCTCCAGTTCCTATTCTCAACCCCACTTCAAACCGAAGAGAGCCGGGGTCTGTAGAGACACGACTCAGGAAGTGTCAGTTTAAAGAAGCATTTTTTTTTTTTGCAAGACATCAAAAATGCACCAAGTCCAACTCATACCAGGAGCTTTGTTTAAAAGAAAAAAAAAAGCCCTTTTGTGAAGACCTTTGGCCAGCTCCAGGAAAGCTGGGGACAATAGGGTCAAGAATGTGCACTGCAGGTCGACCAGTAATCCCTTAGAAATACTCTCAGGCTTACTGGAGCCAGTTCTGGCCCGACCCCCTTGCTGGGAATATAAACAAAATCTAATAAGGGAAAACAAACCCCAGTTGGTGCTAGGGCGGAGCTGGTAAAGCCGCCTCCCGCTGTGCCGGCATCCCACAAGGAGGCCTCTTGGAGTCCTGGCTGTTCCACTTCCGATCCAGCTCCCTGCTCTGGCCTGGGAAAGCAGTAGAGGGTGGCCCAAGTGTTTGGGCCCCTGCACCCTGGTGGGAGACTGGGCAGAAGCTCCTGGCCCCTGACTCTGGGGGGGCATTTTGGGAGTGAACCAGCAGATGGAATATCTCTTCTCTCTCTGTCTCTGCCTCTCTCTGTCTTCCAAATAAATAAATTAATCTTTAATTAAAAAAAAAAGAAATTCTCCCAAAATGTTTAACATCAGAATTTTCAGAACTTTTTGGGTGGCAAGGGACTTGGGGAAGAGCAGGCAGGTGCTGTTCCCAGCTTTTTTTTTTTTTTTTTTTAAATAAAACCCAAGGACTCTGTAAAATGAGGACGGGAACATATCCTGCAGGGACAAGCCCTAGAACGGCACGGGAAGGCTCTGCACCTGTTGCTGGATGGCCCCAGGTCTGCTCCTCTTTGCCGCCTCTAAGAAATTTCCTGTGGCTCTGGTGGCATGACTACGTGTTTCCAGCAGATGGCTCTTATTACAGTTTTGAAATACAGTCAAGGCTTCCTCAGTAGTTTCCTGCTTCCATTTTCAACTCTCTCCACTCTAGTCACTTTTTTAAAAAGATGTTATTTATTTATTTATTTATTTTTGACAGGCAGAGTTAGACAGTGAGAGAGAAAGAGACAGAGAGAAAGGTCTTCGTTCTGTTGGTTCACCCCCCAAATGGCTGCTACAGCTGGTGCGCTGCGCTGATCCGAAGCCAGGAGCCAGGTGCTTCTTGGTCTCCCATGCGGGTGCAGGGGCCCAAGCACTTGGGCCATCCTCCACTGCACTCCCGGGCCACAGTAGAGAGCTGGACTGGAAGAGGAGCAACCGGGACAGAATCCGGTGCCCCAACTGGGACTAGAACCCGGGGTGTCGGCGCCGCAGGTGGAGGATTAGCCTAGTGAGCTGCAGCGCTGGCCGATGTTATATATTTATTTGACAGGTAGAGTTACAGACAGAAAGGGAGGGTCAGAGACAAAGGTCTCCCAACTGCTGGTTCACTCCCCAAATGGATGCAACAGTCAGAGCTGGGCTGATCTGAAGTCAGGAGCCGGGAGCTTCTTCCTGGTCTCCTACGCAGGTCCAGCGGCCCAAGCACTTGGCCATCCTCCACTGCTTTCCCAGGCCATAGCAGGGGGCTGGATCAGAAGTGTAGCAGCCAAGACAAGAACCTGCATCTCTATGGGATGCCGGCACCACAGGTGGAGATTTGGCCTCCCACACCATAGCACCAGCCCCATCCAGTCCCTTCTTAAGGACCAGTGAGCAGGATAAAGATCTGACCATTTTCTTCGTGTTCCATTCTTCAGTTGTTTACTGCAGAATTTCCACACTCTCTAGCCAGACCACAAGATCCTTTGTGATGTTTTTCTGCCTCCTTTCTCTGCAGCTTTCCCGTGGTGTTGCTGGGAGGCCCCTGGCTTGGTCACTCAGGGTCCTGCTAGCCCAGAGGTTTCCAACTACTTCCTGTTTCTTGTGAGAACCACACTCTTTCCTGCCTTGAAATTTTTCGCCAATGGAGTTTTTCCCCAGCACCCCCATCCCTGCTGCCTGCCTGGTTGTCTGTTAAATGTCCAAGACTCAGCCTGGTTTCCTCGGGGGGGACTTTTCCAACCCCAGTCTGAGCTGCGAGTCCCCATGTTGAAGCTGCACTCCCATGTAGCCCTGGCCGATGCATGCTGTGTCTCTTCCCTCCTCTGTGAGATGTTGCCTTATCTCCGGTCAGACCGCAGGTGTGGGATGGAACAGGGGATTTGAGTGGCCGGTGGGCTGCCTGTACCAGGCGGTTTCTTTGGTATAGTGCAGTGAGTCTGGAATCAAATCCCACCACTGCCACTTTCTTGCTGTGTGACCTTGGGCAAGTGCCTTAACCTTGCCGTGACTTTGTTGTCTGATCCATAAAACAGGGACAGAAGTGGCATCCAGGACAGCGCCTGGCTTCCCCGCAGCGTAGGGGAAACATGAGCTCTGGCTTTGGCATCTTCTTGGTGCCGTGCAGTCTCATTGCTTTTGCACAGAGACAGCCTCTTCCGCATTGCATTCTTGGCCTCTATTTTTTTTTTTTTTTTGACAGGCAGAGTGGACAGTGAGAGAGAGAGACAGAGAGAAAGGTCTTCCTTTGCCATTGGTTCACCCTCCAATGGCTGCCATGGTCGGCGTGCTGCGGCCAGTGCACCGCGCTGATCCGATGGCAAGAGCCAGGTGCTTCTCCTGGTCTCCCATGGGGTGCAGGGCCCAAGCACCTGGGCCATCCTCCACTGCACTCCCTGGTCACAGCAGAGAGCTGGCCTGGAAGAGGGGCAACCGGGACAGAATCCGGCGCCCCGACCGGGACTAGAACCCGGTGTGCTGGCACCGCAAGGCGGAGGATTAGCCTAGTGAGCCGCGGTGCCAGCCGGCCTCTATTTTTTTTTAAGGGACAGTCATTCTGGTCACCCTAATTACCTCTGTTATTTGGAGATAAGAATGCGATGAGAGGTGAAATAGCTGGTGTCCTCAGATCGTGCCGGGGAGCAGTTTAAGGGTGGGTGTTGGGCAGCTCACCCACCTCTGATGATGGACCTGATGCTCAGTTGTCCTCTCTCTCTCTCTCTCTCTCTCTCTCTTAAAGAAACAGCTAGCTCTCCAGTGAGACTGGGTCCTAGTGTAGATCACGTAGAATGTGCCTGGTAGGAATGGAAGGCATCTGGATGCCATCTATCCTGCTGATGGTTCTCTTTGAAAACGGGAGATCAGGAGACCTCAAAGCAAGAAACAAGCAAAAATCCTTTAGACTATTGTATCTTCTGAGTCTGTACTACTGGCCTTAAAATGCTTGAGTTCGTTGAAATAGGATTTCTGTACCGGATTCAGCCTTTCCCAGGTCGCTGAGAGAGAGAGAGAGAGAGAGAGAGAGAGAGATGTCTTCCATCTGCTGGTTCACTCCCCAGTTGGCTGCAACTGCCGGAACTGAGTCTATCCAAAGCCAGGAGCCTCCTCCAGGTCTCCCACATAGGTGCAGGGGCCCAAGGACTTGGGCCATCTTCTACTGCTTTCCCAGGACATAGCAGAGAGCTGGATAGGAAGTGGAGCAGCCGGGACTTGAACTGGCGCCCATATGGGATGCCTGCACTGCAGATGGCGGCTTTTACCCGCTACACCACAGCGTCAGCCCCAACACAGAGCTGTTCTTTATGGAGAGTACTCCTCCCCTGAGGAGGCCTTCGTAAATGCATCTTCCATCAATTAGCCCTTGTTCTATTTGTGAACTTTTTTTTTTTTTTTACATTTTTTCCTATGTTGGTTACAGTATACCAGAAAGTAATGATATGTAGCTATATGTAGTACCAACTGTCTCAAATCTGCTTCTAGTTTTAAGCACTCGATAGATTACATTCTGTATCATTATGAGAACAGTCTTGTTATTAGTCTGTCGTTTCGTTTTATTTGATAAGTATGCAAGGATGAATTCTTGTTAGAGGGCCAGGAATATACAAACAGACCAAAGAACACCTCCCTGAATTATTGTGCCATAAAGCAGTCACTCAACACACTAGTCTTCAGTTTTTCTTTCTCCAAGAAGTGCTAATTACTTGTCATAAATTTTAGGAGAATCTTGCAGGATAGTGAGGAAGTTTTTTTGTTTTTCTTTATTCCTAAAAAGGCAAGGCAATGCCGTGAAAACTCAACATGACAGTGTGACAGCAGCGTCACACCAAGGGAATGTGAGGACTTCAGCAGTGTGTGTAGGGGGATTTAGCTACCAAGGAGTTGGGCTTAGCTTTGGCCCCTTTGAGTGAGGTTCGAGGGGTGGGCGGTCTGAGATACGGATTTCTTGGTAAGTTTCACATGATGTTAAATACTCTCACTGTGACCAGTGACTAATCCTGGGCTGGGGTTTCCATTTGCCATCCCATTGGGGTTTCACAAAGAGATAAAACTGAGATCTTATAGAAAAAGTAAGGTCAGGAAAGTCGTGGCCTTTGGATAAGCACTGTATCTCAGAAATCCAGAAATGATCAATCAATCAAGCAAGCAAGCCAGCCAGCCGGTATTCTTTTTTCTTTCTTTTCTTTTCTTTTTTTACAGGCAGAGTTAGACAGAGAGAAAGGTCTTCC